TGGCCAGTGTTATTGAGATAATGTATTATTTAAGAAAGTAGCCCTGAGGAGGGCAATAATATGATCCACGACTTGACACACTGCTCTATAAGGAGAGACTGAGGGAATTGGGCATGCTCAGCCTTGAAAAGAGAAGGCTGAGAGGGGACATGATGTCCCTCTATCAGAAACTCACAGGATGTCACAAAGAGGAACGTCAAGCTCTCTTCTCCCTGATCCCACAGTGTAAGACCCAGAAGAATCAATTCAAGTTGCAAAAACCCAGATTCAGGCTGGACATCAGGAAAGCTTCCTCATTATCACAGCATTAGGACAGTGGAAACAGCTGCCTAGTGAGGGGATGGGCTCTCCCACACAAGGAATTTTCAAAAATAAACTCTACTATCCTATGATGCTGTGATTCTATTTGCTTGGAAGGGAGTAGATCCCAAGTTCGTACATCTTCACTGAAATCATGTGAAGATGGGCCTTTGCTCTGGCTGGAAGTCTCCATGTCACCATGGCTGAAAGATCCTTGGAACATCACTGATGGCTTCACAAGCTGCACTTGTCTCAAAGAGGTGGGCAAATTCTTCCCTGAGGAGTTGTTCCAGCATGCAGAATCAGGATTCTCTATGCACTTCCTAAAAGCAGCAGCGCAGGTTTGGGCAGAATCACAGAAATTTGGTACCTAAAACATCCCAAAGTTCAAGCTTGCACTTATGGATGCCAGGGATGAGCATATTCATGTGGAATGATACCACACGTAAGAAAGCACTGGTTCCAGCCCTATAATTTTCTCTTAGCAGGTCATCCATCTTGGGATTGCATCAATGTTTAGGAATAGGGTTCTAGTCATCCATCTGAGGACCAGAACTAGACCAGCAGCCTCTAGAACATGGGCATCCCAGCTGCAACTGACCTGACAACACCTTAACAAGAAAGGCGGTACCAGGAATTAGGTACTTGTGATTGAAATTCATCCAATCTATAAGAGGTTTCTTTGAAAATGACAGTACCACTGGAAGAGAAGACTTCAGTGTTTTGAGTAAGAATGGGTTTATCATACTGGGTTTTTTTGTTTTGTTTTGTTTTCGGAAGAAGGAAATGGCATAATCAACGCTACTACACTATAGGAAATCAACAGGAGAACAACACTCAGAGTCATCACTGCAAACACTTTGACTAAGTGAGCTGCTGGAAATCAATGGAATGGATGGAGCCGGAAGAAGTGCCAGGCATCATAAAGCACATTAAGCTGACTGCAGAAACTTATAAGTCCACTGGGAGCATGACAAGCTGGACTTTTCCCACAAGGTTGGGCAAACATCTGTGAATCTTGGAGCCTGTGTGCAGGATCATGATTCTTTGGTTGTGTGACAGTTTGAACTTCCTGATTACTTTCCTCAGTATTTGAAGCTGCTTCATACCAAAAACACTTGATCAGATCAATGATCAATCAAGGTCAAAACAATACTGAAAAATACACAATATCAGAATGAAGTGAGAAAGCAAAATGCTCATGAACATGGTGGCAAGATGTCTCCATTAGTTCATGCTTGCCTGGAAAGACATATCCATACCAGTGGTGGCGTGGGAATATCGACATTCAACAGTCTTCTTCTGATGGTTGCCAAGGGGGGGATTTCAAAGTAGCATTCTGCCATGGTGGGAGCTCTCATGCTTCTTTCAGGGGTAGCTCTGCACAGAGCACATTGCAGAAATAAAGGACTGAGTTGAACAATGCCTACCATCACCAGTGGAGCCAAATTGTACCTTCCATGAATACTCACAGAGGGAATGCAAGACAAGGAGGTGCAAAAGCATTTGAGCTGCCAAAATGATCAATCCTCCAGTAGAGCTTGGACTTCTGTGTGTAGACCAGGCCAGGAGACCACTCCTTCAAGGGAGAATGCAAGACCAGCTACCAAGGTCATCAAGTGGGAACCACTTGAAAGAGGCTGTTGATCTTTCTCTAGTTATTTCATTCCCTTACGGCAACCATAGGAATACAGGCCCTCCACAGTGTCCCACCTTTCACTGCCCTGCTAAGCTTTTGCAAATTCAAGGCTCGGGGATTCCTCATGGAAGTAATCCAACTCATACTTAGTCTTCCATACCTTCCTGACCCTCAGCTTTCCCTGAGATCATGGTCCTCTCCAGGGAGCCTTCCCTTCTCATTGTGTGTCTGAAACAAGAAAGTCTCTCTTTCATCAAGCTTGCTTTCAGGAAAAAGCCTGGCCTGATTTTTTCCAGGACTCACTTGTTAGACTTATTTTTGGTCCTAAGCAACCACAAAGTTCTCTTCCTGCACCATGTCTTGGACTCAGGCTGTTTTTGCCAGGATCCAAAAATATGCCACTGACCCTCATCCAGCACATTACTGAATCCTGGCACTGGTCAGGGACCATCATGGCTGTACCAGCAGAGATTACAGGGATATAGTGGCACATCTCACCTGCAAGCTGACTTTTTTCAACATTCAAAGGAATGATTGCGAGCAAGACTGTGCTTTGTGGGACTGAAGAGCTCAGGGATGGAGGGGTGAAACACTGACCTCTCTGAAACAAGCTGTGCAGGTTGGAGCAGTACCCATAACATTGCAAAAATGAAGCTAGCCCTGCAGGATACCAGGGATGTGTGTATACAAGTTGAATGATAGAGCAGATTGAAAAAACTAAGTTGAGCCCACTCAGTTTTCTCTCTGAGGTTCATCCATCCTGGACTAAGTCAAATGTTAGGATAGGGACCAGGTCATCCCTCTGAGGTCTAGAACTAGACCACCAACCTCTGGAACATTGGCATCCTTAAGATAGTGGCAAATGACCCAACAGGACCTTCTCAGGAACCTGAGCCAAAAAGAAGATACCAGCAACTAGATACACATTATTGAAATCCATCCAATGTATAACAGGTTTCATTTTAAAAGTGAGTGGATCAAAGTGGAATGATAGGGCAGGTGGAAAGAACTGGGTCAAGTCACCCTCTCACGTATATGGAGGTTATCCATAAGGGGAGAAAGTCTGATTCATTCTGGAGTTAGACCAGCAACTAGTAGAACATGGGCATCATTCACACTGCCTGCACATTCCCCGACAACACCTTCTCAAGAAACTGAGCCAAAAAGGATTTGCTAGCAACTCGGTATTAGTACCTGAAACTCTTGGAGTCCAGAACAGTTTTGTTAGAAAAACATTCTCAGTGTCCTTATATGGTTCAGAGGAAAGAGAAATTGCTCCCAGGACATTTTAGAGTGCATGCCCATGTAGCATTTTCAGGGTAGAGTGAAGGCAGGAAAGTCAGCTAAATTTCCCCTTCTGCAATGCCATGCAATAGGCATGATGATACCCTGGCCCACAAATATGCTCAGCTGAACCCAAATCTTTTGCCATTTTCTGTGAAAAAAGAACAGAATAGAGGAGTACCTGCCAGGGCTGCAGCTTCTGCATTTGCAGTCTGTCTCCTCTTCCAGCCATCAATTTTCCATTGAATCGGGATGAAGATGCAGCATTTAAGGCATGGGCTAAAATTTGGACACTGTTGTAAATAAGAAAGCTGTCTTGTGAAAAGACCCTTTCCAGCTCTTCATGGGGAAGCACCTCCAGTTTCTGCTTCTCTGAATACCTTGACCAATTTTTCATGGAAAAAGCATGCTTTGAATAAAAACAATGAAAAGCATTCTGCCAAAATTGATCTGTAGCATGAGAACGTGGATAATAGTGGTCAAGTCTTGTCTTCTGGGGGCTCTTCATGACAAAGGACAAAGATCCATGGAGAGGCTGAAGGAAATTGGAATCATACAGTAAATACATATTCATGTCTGTCACAGTGGTGGTGATCCAGACCTTTCCTCCAATTGGTCCCCCTCCATGTATTATTGGGAAGATGAAAATTGGAGCACAGCCATAATAAGAGTCTGCATAGAAAACAGCAACATTCACTTGTCCCCACGAAAAATACAGATCAGCTTCAGGCACTGTGGCAAGGTTTTTTTGTGGTAGTCTTTTTGTGAAGGCAGTGCAGATTCCATGAGTGATCATCAATGGGATCATCAACCTCACAAATTTTTCTCCATTTTCATTGTCGGGGGAAAAGAGACCAATCCATGTCCAACCAAAACTTGCAACCAGTTGGACAATGCCCAAGTATTGGGTTTCTTCCTTTGGGGCCATCTGGTGGATGAATGGAAACTGAGTCTGATCCTCCAGAAAAGGGTCAACCAAGCCATAACTGATCTAATGGAGAGAGGAAGAGCCTGGAAGTTTGCACTCTTTTGTAATTCGGATGAACATCAGAATCGCAAGAACATGAAATCTCTTAGCAAAAGCTCATCACAAGAGAAGTGGAAGTTGAGGAAGAACGGAGGGACTAAACATCTCAAGGATCATCTCTAAGATAGCAAATCAATAGTTGCTTGGGCAAAAGTGGGGCCCTCCTCTGCTGAGAGACAAGACCTCTCCCAAGCTGACCCCAGCCTAGCAAGTGCCTATGCAGGACCAGAACAGTAACCAGTAGGTGAGCATCCTGAAATGGCTCTTTTTGTTTTCGCTTTGGACTGACCAAGGGTTTCCTCCTTTTTCAAGGCACTAGTTTGATGGAAGAAAATCTCATTGGACAGTTTTTTGCTCATTGGTCAGTTGCCTTGTTTGAAATATGTTTGCCTGACTTTTCACTTCACAGCTTTTGTATATGTTGGGTTTCCTCTTCCTTAGTTGTCAAAAAGGGATTTTTTCAATTGTCATACTGTATTAGGAGTTATGTATTTTGATTTTACACACACAATTTTCCATTCTGCATTATGATATTTGCTATGTACTTCTTGCATGTGGTTTCTGTATTCCAAGGAGAATACCCTTGGTTGTAATCCCTTCCCATTTCAAAGCACCAGTTCCCAGCTGCAACACCCTCAGCAGAGGACATGTTCTGTAGGTGGGTGAAGGTGCTTTAGGAAAAGAGCTGAGCCAAGCCAAGCCTAGCTGGATTTGGGTGGAGCTGGGCTCTCTTACCCTCCCAGGGCTTACCTGAGGAATCTTGTAGATGCCTGACATGGCAGAAATGAGAGTGGACACTTCTGATTCACTTCCTTCAAGAATGGCCAGCAGGTTCTTCTTCTTCCCACAGCTGAAGTTGGGAAGGTGGCTTTCCCCACCAGCAGGCAGGCCTAGCATGGCATAGGAAGCCGTCCAAGCATCAGAATGGCTCTCATAAATGTCGTAGCCCAAGCTGAAGTTGCGTAAGAGCCTGGGTTTCTTGTTGATCTCATGAATGGAAAGCAGGAAGGACAGCACGTGCCAGTAAAACAGAATGTGGAAACTGCAACTTGAGAGAAATAGAAATTATGCTCATTGTAAGAAGAAGGTTCATAAATAATTCAGGATGCATGATGAGAATACTGAGAAGGGTTAAATCAGACAGCATGCAGTTAAATCATGGATTCCGCTTGCAGCTGGTGCAGCTACAGCTTAGGATATGCAGAAAATCTGTTGGATTCCCTGGTTTTGGCTTCCCAGATAGACAACAATGAAGAGTCTGAGTTCATTACAGTACCCGAGCACACCCCGAGATTGCAGGAATTTACAAAGGAATTAAGCCCCGCATGCTGCACAATCAGTCCCTTTCGTCGATGACCACCAGTGACACCGACACCAGTTAGTAGGAAAAATTTTGGATGGATTTCCTTTTTACTCAGCTTACATTGCATGGCTGGGCCAAGCATGGGAGGAAGTCCACAGATTCTGCAGGGGTGGATTCCTGAACAGTTCATACCAACCCTAGTCAGGGCTATTAACTCTGATGACTTTATGTGAGTTTTAATGAGTCTGTGCTGCCTTAGCAATCAGAGGCTGGAGTTGGGATGAAACTTCAAAGAATCCCTTCTTCAAATCCCTACTCTGAGCACTTGAAGGCTTCCTCATGTGCTCAACTGGCTCTTCCAAACTATGCGGACATGAGAAGAAGTGTGTGAATGCTTGCAGACCACCCCTTCTTCAAGCTTCCACATCTGTGATGACCGCTGAAATGGAAGCTACTCCTGGCCTTTGAGTGTTGTGCTGCCAGCAGTCACAGGGCAGCATTCCCAGTGAGCCCCAACACCTGCCTTCTTCAGCAACATTTTCTGCCACTCAGAGGGCAGCTGCATTAGCTGCATGAGTGGGTGCTGGTTGCACAAGGCATGTGGCTCACTTCCTGGAGGGCATTCACAAGTGCTGGACACACTCACCAGGAAGTTGGACTCTGGGCTAAAGCAAAGTGAGCTGTCCCCCAGAGAGCCAAAAAGAAAGAATGCAATGGATTTGATCCCACAGAGAGATTGTTCACACATCCCTATCAGAGGCAGGATCATATGAACATCCCCTCCTGGAAATGCATGTGGAGAGGCTTTATTGCTCTCTATCCTGCTTTTGAGATTCCCACTCTCCCCCCATTGGGTACTCTGACCATCAAATCCTGGCCTGCATGGACCATTGGTCTGGTGCATCATGGCTCACTGTATATTCATTTATTCTTGGGGTGCTGAAGGCTAGAAGAAAAGCCCCAGTGGTGGTGGACCATGATCCATGAATAAATATTTGCACCAAGCATAATCTCTCACAAACACACACATACACACACATGGAGAGAGTTATTTCAAACTCCTGCTGCACAAGAACCTGCCTTTCACGCAAGATGTGGAGAGGCTTTGGCATTCACTTTCCTTTCCAGCAGAAGTATCTGATTTTCTGATCAGTACCAGAGTACTTCCAGAGATGGGGCAGTCATCTAACTGTCCTTTTCCAACAGGGTCTTTGTGACTTTTTCCAAAGAAGGTCTTGGGAGGCATAATCTCTCCTCCCAAGGATGCCAAGGGGAAGTAATTGAAGGAAACATCCCCATTCTCATGCCAAGAAAGCTTGCCTGGTCTGTACCCTCCCTGACTTCTCCACACATGGTCCACAATGGTTTTCATGCTATCTCATTCAGAATGGCAAAACTCAGAGAAATCCAGCTCATTTGCTGCTACATAATAAGCAGTGCTGCAGGGGTGGCAATGGAACTATGTGATGCCAGCAATGCTTTGGGTAGCCCCAAGGAAAAGCCCACTTGGCTTCAGCCTGGGTCATGTCATGCAGGTTAAAGCAAACAAATGTTTCTCCCTAAGGCTCAAACCCAGAGAGGGGCAGAACTGGAGTGGCGGTTGGAAAGCATGTGAGCATCATGACTTACCTCTCCCTCGACTTGGCTGGTGATTCAGAAAAAAAATAGAGTGGCTGATGCTGAAAAGACTGTGAAGAAACAACACCACTGATCAGGTAGTTTCCTTGCTGGTGATAGTTATAAGCTCCTTCTGTAAACATATCCCCTGGACAATTTGTCTTCTGCATCTCAGAAACTGCATGAGGCAGCAACAGCAGAAGCAGAATCAGCAGGAACACTGGCATTGGGATACATTGACGAGATTCCCACATGCCCCATGTGCCTACTCTTCTCACTTGCAGACCCAGCTCAACCAGAATTCTCTGACCCTGAAGTCCCACAGATGCACTCTTATCAGAGCCAAATGGGGCTTTTCTAAACTTCACCTGTGCACAGTTCCTGCATCACTTTGCCTGCTCTGAGTCTCATCCCAGGCCCTGAAGAGCATTGTGGGCATTCCGCACAGTCAGACTCTCAGACAAAAGGCATGGTATCTCCTGGCATTGCCATTATTTGTCTCAAAAGTAAACTCGAGATAGCCCCTTGTGTATTGGCCGGAATCAACTGTAATTGCTCTGGACCCATGGTGTGTCTCATGGCTCAGGGGCACAGAGGGGGAAAAACATGTTGTTAGTTCTCTTTTTGCATCAGAACGTGTGGTATACGAGAACTTGGCCAAAGCTCTCTCAGGGACCCACCTTCCAACGTGGGTGAACTTGTTTTGAACCATATGGTGAACTTCTTTTGATACCCGAGCTGTGGGCTACATGTGGCCCTCTGCAGCTTTCCTCATTGTTTCAATTGATAGGCATGCTGGATTTCCACAGCTGGTAAGCCTGGACCTCTGGCTCCTTCCCACCAGACAAGAGTAGCCATATGGTATGTGGAGTTGTGGCAATGACCAGGGTTCTGCTGAAGTCTGATGGAATCCACCAATCTAGCATTAAAAGGTTTCTCTTCTTGCATTGCTCACTCTTGGAAAATGAGCCAAGTTTGCAGGAAGTTTGCAAATGCCCACTGAAGGAAACTTGTGTCCAGGGAAAAGCACAGAAGCAGAATGCTTTTCAGGCAGTGATAGTGTGGGGCTCTACTCCTGGCATTCAGCCTGCAAATTGTCAGTGTCAGGAGCAGAGTAGAGGGAGCAAATCCAGGGTTTCCAGGTGATTCCTACCACAATGACATACAGTCCACTTCTCACACATTTCTGGAAACAACCAATGATGCACAGCTGGAAAGCTACTTCCTTCCCCATTCCTGGACAGGACCACCAATGAACTCATCTGATCTGTGAACACTTCACACATTTGCTAACTGAGGCATATGGTAGCACTGCGTTGTTGCATCAGGCAACCACCCCACTCAGTTCCAGCACAAGCACGCTCTTGGCATGTTCCAGCTGCCCAAAGGTGGAGCAGCAGCTCTACCAGGTGAGCAGAACATCTCTTTTCTTGCTTTCCTTAGAGACTGCTTCTTTTTTCATTCATCCTTTATTAGAGCTTGGCAGGTTTCATGGTAATACAGCATTTCTTCTAGAAGGAATGTTCACATTTAGCATCCATCAAGGAATGATCTCCCTGATGTGAGGCAGCCATTCTTGTCCATGGGAATGGCCTCTTCCAAAATGAAAATACCCAAAATGTCTGGACTCCACCCTCAGGGCAGTTCCAGCCCTTTGAGCCCATGCAAAATATGCAAAAAAAAAAAAAAAAAGACTTGGGGTTCCCTTAACCACCACTAGAAAATCTGCAGGGTATTCCAAAGAAGTTTGCCTGCTGTATAACAGGGGATCTGCTTGAAGATTTGCTTTTCCCGGGAGAAGAAGTATGGCGTCGGAACAATACAGACATGATTAACAAACCTCCATTATCATGCTGGTACCGGCCTGGTCGAGGGCTGTGGGACTCAATCTAAGCTCTGTAGGAGCTAATATAGATTACTTGGAGAATCCCCCATAAGATGTGGAAATGGCAATTCCACATTTAGTGGGAGGAAATCAAGCTTTCTTCAGTCAGCCAGCACCAGAGGGAATGCTGCCCTCTATAAGTTCTCGACATGCTACTTTTTTTAGTTTTTGTTTTAGCTTTTGTGAACATACCGGATCTATTGGAACGTATTTTTGTTTCTTTTTTTCTCTGCAATGATACCTGTGGAATAAGCTGTATTTTTTTGCTAATTAAAAAGGCCTTCGGATGGAGGGGGAATAAAACCTCTCCCCACCCCCATGGAGTTGAAGCAGCGAACTGCATAATGGAGAGAAAGATAGAACTGCTTGTAAATAAGGAAAAGTTTTATTTTCTTCTAATCTCTCTAAGGGCAAATAATTGTGCTGTGGAACTGAGTAATAGAGGATCTTTCTCCCATTTGTTGGTCTTGGACTGCTGCCAAGCAGTAGTGGCCATCTTTCTCTTTGTTCCAGGGACCCTTGGACATTTGCCAAGTCTTGATAATTTACTGCTATCATGGAGGAAATACAGAGTTCATTTCTGGAAATACGATCTTCGCTAATAGTGTTGCAGTTATCCCAGCAGGAGATAATAATGCGTCAGAAAACTGTTTTAGAGCAACTTGATTGTTTTTTAACTGAACAGAAAAGTGGCTTTGCTAAATTATATATTGCTATCAATTTCACCTTAGATAAGCAACCTACACCTGAACAGAATATGCAAAATATCCAACAAGCAGAAGGAAAATCTGAAACTGGAGAGAAAATAAGTGCAACTGAGCTGCGTGGTATGCTGGAAAAGAAGACAGTTTGGCCACAACTCAAGACACATGATTTATTGCAGACATTATGAAGCAAGCTTCTGTGGGATCTGCATGTTATCTTAGAGAAGGACAATCTAGCTGATCATCTGAAAGAGCTTATGTTTATGTGGCTGCAACTGAAGACTCCATTACAGACATTACAGTGGTTTAATGGAAAAAAAAAAAACAAAAAACAAAAAACAGAAAGGTCTGGTAGAGGGGTAAAGAAAAAGAAAAAATAAACATGGTA